AGTGAGAGGATGAGGAGATAAATAAACGAATGAGTATGTTAACGAATAGATGAGCCTTGAAATTCGATTTTGGGACACAATGTGAGCTTCATCTTCATTTTTTAAACACACTGCGCACATCACAGCACTATCGAGTTGATGTGTATATTTCATGTAGCCTTTTTCTAGCGACTGTCGGCGATCACACGGAAAGCCATCTTTTCAGCAGACCTTGTCTAACTTAGGGTCAGTGATGTAATCTCAGATAACTTGAAGGATCGTTCACTTCGTCAAGGACTAAACTGTCGGTGCAACTCGCCTTCTGGGATGAGGACCGCGTGATCCTCACTGTGCCTGGTTGGAGACACGACAAGATATGGCTGCCAACCGATGTCAGTGGCGTGCTTGTTGTCAGTTTCTATCCAGATTGCCTGAGTGAATGTCTGGAGGTATAGGCACCTCGGAATGATTGTGTTAAGCTAGCACTAAGTCCCTTCCCCGTCAAGTTTTACTCTTTTCTTTACAATAAGGCTTTCAAATAAATTATGGTCGTAGGGCAGTGAAACATTGGTGTTTGAACACTGATGTCACGCTGTCGATAACGATGACGAAGCCTTTTAACGTTGCTTGAATTCTGATGACTTTATTCGCGGTATCCATGAGCAAACAGAGCATGTCGTTGAAAGGTAACACTTCACATCGTTCAGCAAAAGAAATCCTCTTTAAAAGTTGATGGCCTCACACTGTTCATGCCCATTACGGGACCCAAGGTTGAAGTTCCACACAAGCATTCCGACGGTGAATGCTTGGTCGCTCCCCCTACGAGATCTCGATCGATAAGCATTTCATGGCAATCCGGATACAAACTGCTTCTGTCACCTCTCTCGAATGAATTACCAAAGGTAAAGTTGCGTTTGAACCACAGGCCTTCCGAACCAGTAAGTTGGTGTGAAAGCTATCAGAAGAAGGGGAACGGTCAAGTCCACCCTATCACTTTTGGATTTGTTGATGGCTGAGCCTATCATTCGGGTTCCTCGAAATCTATCCCAGACAGTTCGGTTCACCAGCTGTAAACCATGTGCACAGAATGCGTCGCTTCCAACTGCTAGTTTCGGACACCAATAAAATGGGATAGCAAGGGTGACTGGAGGCGATTGCATGGTCGGTTAGCTCAGGGAACTTGCCAGCTTGTATCAACAGGCGCGCCACTGACTGCGTGACTAGGCCATTTCCGCCGGTGCCATTAACCGTTAGTGAATTGACTACTGGGGTCTGTATCTAACGAAGCGGCAGTTGTCAGCCCGAGTGAGTTTGCATACTTTTTCTTATAGGTTATACACTTTCCACCTTTCTGTCGCCTCCACTCAGCACAGGGCTGAACTTAAATAGCTCTGCGGGGCAGACGGAGACAAGACTACGGTTGAGGAGGATTACGGGGCGACTTTTTAGTAAAACCTAGTTCTCGTAAAAGAAACTACTCACAAGGCTGCTGAAAACTGTTCGACAGCATACGGCCGGTTTCGCCCTTCCATTTCGGGCTCATCAGGTAGGCGCGCGGTCGCCGAGTTCCCGTCATCCTTGTGTTCAACTGGAACCCAAATTGAACTGTTTTCGAGAAATACATTCACTTGCAGATCTACTTGGTTTGCACAAGAAATACACTGCGATATCTCGAGTATCGTGCCAATTGAATCACGAGTCGGCCTGTGTGCAGCACATTCAGTTGAAGAATATTATAAACGAGGGATTCCGTTGAGTCTCTCGTGAAAACCACATTGATTTGCAAATGAGTGTATTTCTCGAAAACCCAGTTTGTTCATTCTGAGTTTACCAAATCGGCTGGTACTTCTGATTTCAGCCAAGACATGCATGGACGGTTCAAAACCACCGCTAAGCTCTAGTGCTCGCTATCCGCATGCATACAACACAGAAAAGTACACAGATTTCTAAGTCCTCAGAACAGCGATTCTCTTGTACTTTCCGACAGCAATTCGACACCACGAGTCTAGTTTCTTGAATGCATAGAAGTAATGCCTTACCATGATAACGTGCCTGCTTTACCAGCCCATCCACCAGTCCGATATTGAATGCGACCTTTGGTACACGTGTTTTCATTCGTCTACATATCTAAACTTGAAATTCATCATAAGTTCTGGCGAGATTTCATTTGGTCAGTTGGATAATGGTGAACGAGGCAGAGACATGATAGTAAGTTATCGTTCAGCTTTAACACCCTTTCGGTGTCTAGCTGCCATGCCACCCAAAGGAAGCACAAGGCCTAATATACTGCTAGGTTGTCCAAGCCTAGACAGCGTGAGTTGAGAGGCGGGCTCGAACCACGGACCATCCGATCAGTAAATTCGCGCTCTAACCACTTGGGCCATCTCGCCCCCAGGATTTGGATGGGTTTAAAGAACATCGATTACGCGAAATACACGGGAGATTCACTTGGAAACCAACTGTTTTCAGGTCTAGGATCATGGGAGAACCTTGCCCTGGATACAGTCACCTGCGGAAGAGCCACAAATCGAGACGTCCGTATATCATTTGTATATACGTCACAATCAAAATGGCGTTTCGCACAACGTTTGACACGCACGTTTACATGAACTTGAGGCAGGGGGCACAGTATCACACGGAGAACTAGAGGGATTGACGGAATGCTGGCTGACGCGCTCAACACATCTCGCCGAACTTCAGGCCAGCATCGGAGTTGTAGGTTCATCTAACTGTACGGAGGGGCGAGATGGCTCAAGTGGTTAGAGCGCAAATTAACTGACCGGAAGTTCCGTGGTTCGAAACCGACCTCCCCTGTCTAGGCTTGGGAAACCTGACACTGTACCAGCCCTCATGCTTACTTCTGGTGGCATGGCAGTTAGGAACCGTAAGGGGCTACGGTTAACTGTACGGAAAACGGCGCACGCAGGTGACAGGTACATCACTGAGTTCACACATTACTTCCTACAAAAGCACCGCGAAGTTTAATTATTCATTTAGTTCCTCACTACAGAATGGTTGGTCGACTAGACCGTAGCTTGTGTGTTCGCGTTTGGTTTGTTTTACTCTCTTCAATCGTTGAGAGACGGCGAAAAATATGGAATGCCTCTGCATGCTATCGGCCAATCTGAGGATGTACTGTGGCGCATCGCAGAAAGTGTTGCCCCCTCTGTACAGAGTTCAGCTGTAACACCCGCGCTCGGTGCGTAGCTGTGATGCCATCCAAAGTACGAAGGCAGACAGGGGCAGTTCAGATTGTGTTCGAACAACGGGCCTACCGGCTAGGAAGTTCGCATCTTAGCCACTAGGTTGTCGCGAGCTCTGTACGGAATGAAAAAACGTGTCTTTCTTTTCCCCCGGTGTTCCTTTCACATCCCGAGATTATTTTCACTTCTGCACTCGATCACATGACATTCAAAATCTGGATGTCAGTGATGGGATTCTCTGGGAAGAACATTCTGTCACCGAGACCATTGAAAGTTGTTTTTCACCGAATTCTTGGAGCGAAGTCGCCAGAAATTCCAAGGATGAGCCTGAGAAAATATCGGCGATGTATATTGACAGTCAAAACTTGGTACAGGAGCGCCGAATCGGGTGGACTGCCGATAGTTCATCTGTGACACCCTTCCGGTGCCTAGCTGACATGCCAACAGAAGGAAGCACAAGGGCTGGGATAGTGTCAGGTTGCCTAAGCCTAGACAGAGGAAGTCGAGAGGCAGAGGTCGGGTTCGAACCATGGACCTTCCGGTCAGTAAATTCGCGCTGAAACATCTCGCAGCCCGCCAAAGAAACCGTTGCATTGTGTCACAGCGCACGGAATTGGGCAGCGCTGCTGCGTACCGTGATAACAAAATAACCGTCCACCTTTTGATGCTTAGCTCCCATACCACCCAATGAGAGCGCGAGGGCTAATATACTACCAAGTTGCCCAATCCCGGACAGGCGGGTCGAGATGTCGCAGTTGGGTTCGAACCATGGTCCATCCGGTAGGCGATTCGGAGTCCTAATCACTGAGACACCTCGGATTCTTAGCTGCAATTTTTTCATGTGTACGTATAGGTCTTTAGGACGTCGTGCTGAAGGACACATTATTCTAGGCATCGACGTACGAACGAAGGTCGACCAATTGGCGCCTGTCTGTTTTCCATTTGCGAACGACTGACGTTCCTATCCTAACAAGGCCCATAATAGCACAAATTGCAACGCCTTAAAAGGTGTGAGGGCGAGATAGCCCAAGTGGTTAGCGGACTTACTGACCGGAAGGTCCGTGGTTCGAACCCGATCTCCGCCTCTCAACTTTCCCCGTCTAGGCTTAGGTAACCTGGCAATATCCCATCCCTTGTGCTTCCTTCTGGTGGCTTGGCAGTTGGGGTGCTACAGCCGAACGATTTTTTTCGAAAGGTGTTACCCGGATTCGATGACCTAAAAAGGACACACGACACACACTTCCCAACTCCAAGGTCTGGTGATCTACTGCTTCAACTTCACAGCACATCCATGCCCCAAGGAAATGTAGCGAACGGCGACCGAAAGCTACGCGTGTAATCCCAACTTCCGTGATGTTCACGCGATCAGAGTAAGCAAGGTTGTAACACTACTACTAATAAAGTCGGTGAAAAACCTGGACAGTCCATATCAGGAAGGCCAGATTCATGAAAGAAACCTCAGAGCGCCCGGAACCTACTGCTCCACCAAAAACTCAACAGGAAATCCGGCAAGCATCCAGGCCAGTCAATCATTCAATCCATTCAGCAAAACCTGATGAGTGTTCACGCACGCCACAGAAGCACGACTGAATGTGATCAGCGTTCAGGCTTTTCACAGAGGCACGATCGATGTTGACGGGTGTTCACTGACGCCTATCAGACAGCCTGGATCAATGTCAGAAAGTCCCCTTTAAATAGCGTGGGGCTGTTGTAACTTTTGCTCTCGCACTCGCTTGTTCGGAATAAAGCGGTTGTGTTCCCTTCTGTGAGTCTTCTTTTCCCTGGCACTAGGCACCGGAGCGGGTTAGCAGCAGATACCACAGGTCGGCGAATCAGCAGATATAACAGTCCACTACCGGTTTTACCTATCTTAAGGCTCGACAAGCAAACCGGGTTCCATCAAGCATACATCTCATTCGGACGTAAAAGAACGTTTTGCCCTCATTCCCGTTCACAGTTCAGAAAATAAAATTTTTAGTCTGGAAATTGAAAGATTATCCCGAGGTTGAAACCAGTTAAAACAAATGCAATAAAATTTGGCACATAAGCGAAGGAGATAAAAACACAAGGAATTTTCGTATGGAAAGTCATGATTAAACCGATCGATAAAAAAGGGTCTTGGGCACCGAGGTTGTTGGTCATGGGACCGAGCGTTTTTGTCGATTGTCCGACGGTTGAAAACTGGAATGGCGAATGAAATCGGGGATAATATCGAGGATAACGCACATTCACGAGGAAAAATAGGACTGTTTCAGAAGAAATTAGGTTTCTCACTTCATTTTTGACTGCCTGGTTTTCCATAGGTATCATTAGAACGAAACGAACTCCATTTTATGAAGGAAACTACTAATAAGGTTGCTGATTTCAACACTTCGACAGCCCACGACTGGTTTCGCCCTTCCACTTCGAGCTCATCAGGTAGGCGCGCAGTCCCCGGGTTTCCGTCAACCTTATCTTCTACTAGAAGCCCAAATTGAACTGATTCAAGTGGGCTGTCGAAGAATTTTCAGCTACCTTGTGAGTAGTATCCCTTATGAAAACATACTGCGACATCTTGAATATCGTGCCAACTGAAACATGTATGTATGTGTATGCAACACATTCAGTTGTAGAATAGCATAAACGAGAGATTCAGTTGTCTCTCGTGAAAACTAAATTGATTTGAAAATGAGTGTATTTCTCGAACCCGATTTTACCTGTCGTCGAGTTGATGACGATCGAACCGCGTCTATCTGACCGCTTGTCACTTGTTGTCGAGTTTGTTGTATGACCAGCTTGCAGTGCAGGTTAAACTGCGCGGGTTCTTGTGGTAAGCATGCAGCCTGGACCACAAACCACTGAATCAATAGAATGCCGCTCCCGTCCGAAGTGATTTATCCCCACACATGGTCTTGAAAGTTTCACTAGGCTGGGTGGCAGAATCTACGAACTGAAGATTAATGTGAGTGACTTGCTGAAACAACTAGTTTGTGTGTGAGTCAAAAAGATGAACTTCCGGGTGAAATATTACAGCAGATAACGACCGTTCCTTCATCAACGTATCCACTAATATGCATCGCTCAGGTGTGACATTTTTTCGGTGTCTAACTACCATGACACCAGACGGAAGTACGAGGGCTTGGATACCGCTAGGTTGCCCAAGCCTAGACAAGAGCAGTCGAGATACCAGATTTGGGTTCCGATCAGTAAATCCGCACCTTACCCATTGATTTATTTTGAGCTCGGAGTACAGTCGACGCAAGACAAGTTCACTTTTCCCTGCGGTTGTTCTCTCGAAGTTGCAATACAGTACAATTATTACACCGATTGCCCCGTAATTTCACAGTTGGGATCTACAACAGACTGTTTCTCCCCAACTGTACACTCCAAAAGGATTTTTCAAATACAGCGTTATATGTATGGAACAATGGACCACAGTTGTCCAAATGCAATACACTACTTATAAAGCTGCTGAAAACAACTCACGACCGATTTTGAAGATCATCAGGTAGGTGAATTCTCCGAGTTTCCCTCAACCCTACATTCTACTTGGACCCAAATTGGATAGATGTCAACCAACGTTCTCATTTGCGCACGAATTTAGTTTTGACAGGGGACTGAGGCGGCGCAGTCAACTGAGGTGGACAAAAGGAGATCCAGCTGAATTCGATCGAGTCTCTTGTCAAAACCGAATTCGTGTGCAAATGCGTGGGAGGGGCATTTATCGAATGGACGTGAACAATATTATCCCAGTAAAAACATCCCCAGAGAAATGGGGGAGCGAATTCAAACGTACAATAAGCTTGATTTGTACAGTGGAAGATACAACCGTTGGGCGGCGGTGTTTGTCTGCACCACTGATGGGTCGATTTCAAGGTCGGATGACGCGGGCCCAAACAGGACGGCAAACTGCTCGGCAAATGCCTGAAGGCAAGCACTTCGTTGGACCAAATCTTCCGTGACCACTTTGGCATGGTGAGGCCAATCAAGCGCATGGGTTTCTCTCTGGGATAACAGTTTGATTGGGGGCATGTGAGTCAGGTGACCGATTAGAAGATTCAGTAGAATGTCCTCGCAGTCGGTAAAGGTATTGACTACTTTGTGAGTTTCGTGATCCAACATTTGCCAATAGAGGTAGTGATAGTGCCTAAGAAAAGAGAACAACAATTCGGGGTGGAACGTGAGGTCTTTTCAAACACAAATGTTAGATCCCAATTTCCGTAAATGGGTTGGGCGGAGCGACAGGAGTTTTCTGTTCGCGTTCCCTCAATAGGGAAACGGAGTCCAAAAAGAGACCACTGTTGGTCAGTTTCAACGGACACCTCCTCAGTAGAAGGCAGTTGTGTAGTGAGATAAAGTGGACCACTTACCTATGATAGAACGCGACATCCAAAGACACTATTGAATAGAATCGTTCAGGACCGCGGTCAAATCCATCGTAGTTCCATAATCGAGTGCTGACATTCCAATGATGCGAGCCTACGCGGAACCCGATGAGACGATGAGGAAATTCTTTCCACGTGGCAAAGGCGAATTCGAGCTGAGCGATGAAGAAAAAAGACAGAGAAGTAGACAACATCCAACTTTCTCATGAATTGTGGGGTCTTCCATGAATGAGTTAGTTTCCTAACAAATTCGACAATGCATGGTGTCAACAGTTGTATCCCTGTCTAAGCTTGGCTAGACGCCGAAAGGGTGTTACAGCTGAACGATTTTTTTAAACAGCAGTACGATTGGATAATAAAAATAAAATAATCGTTCAGCTGTAGCACCCTTTCGGTGCCCTGCTGCCATGCCAAACGAAGGTTGCACGAGGGCTGGGATACTGCCAGGTTGCCTAGACAGGGGAAGTCGAGAAGCAGAGGTCGGGTTCGAATCACGGACCTTCCCGTCGGTAAATTCCCGCTTTTACCACTTGGTCCATCTCGCCCCCTGACTGGATAAGATGTAGCAACAATCTTATCAAACGTCACCATTCTTCTGTTGATCACCAATCAGGGTAAAGCAGCTTGACTAGTTCAGGATTGGTCAGCTTGTAGACTTCGTGAATCCAACGACAGGCGAGTCAGCACCAATCGATACGACCACGGGCCGTCAACTGGAGATCAGGTGACACACAAGAACAGTTCTTGCTGCATATAATCCGTCAACAACGACCCTTGACGTCGGTGGAAAAGTCTGGAACTCAGGAAAGTATTTGGTTGGCCATGCAATAGATTTTTGGCACTAGTAAGCTGCTATGGGCTATAATCGTTCAGCTGTAACACCCTTTCGGTCACTAGCAGCGCCATGCCACTCAGAAGAAGTACGAAAGCTGAGATACCGTGCCAGGTTGCCTAAGCCTAGACAGCAGAGAACAGGTTCGAACCACAGACCGCCTGGATTCTTGGTAGAAATGGAGACAAGCGGGCACAACAGAATTATGCACACGTATAGAAGCCTCATGAATGCTGCGGGGGAAGTGAGGACCTCTGAAGAGGGAACGTTTAGAACGAGAACGTTTGGAAACACTCTTAGGCACTCTTTCGGTGCTTAACTGTCATGCCACTCGAAAGTTGCACGAGGGCTGGGATACTGCCAGGTTGCCTAAACCTAGACAGGGGAAGTCGAGAGGCGGAGGTTGGGTTCAAACCGTGGACCTTCCGGTCAGTGAATTCGCGCTTTAACCACTTGGTCCATCTCGCCCGGTTCCATCTCGCGGTCATCAGTTCATAGTCGGAGACATTCTCTCGTTTGGTAAAGTACAGTGTGTCTCATAATAGACCCAAAAAAATAATACTCCACCAATTTAAACATCCATTATTTTTTAAATAAACATACACGCATTATGGAGGTTTACTGTAAACAAACGAACATTACAAAAATGTTGGAAAAACTGCCCTTTTCTCCTAAAACAAGTTGGGGGCGGTATGAGATGTGAGACACAGCATGTTCAACTTCTTCAAGCATCACTCGTGCACACTCCTCTTCAATTCTTGCTCTTAGCTCTTCGGTTTATTTTCATGATATACGCGAGCCTTGATCATCCCCCAAAACCAATAATCCAGAGGTGTGAGATCGGGTGACCTTGCGAGCCAAAAGATTGGAAATCCACGAGCAATGACTCTCTCATCAGAAAATTCCTCTCGGAGGTAAGTTCTCACTTGGTTTGAGTAGTGGGCTGGAGCGACATCTTGTTGAAAGACAGTCGATGACTTCTTGTGCTGCTTGAGTTGCGGGATAACATGTGCCTGTAGCATATGGAGGTAACTGTCGCCGGAAACCGTAGCATCAAAGAAAAAGGGACGCAGGAGACATTTTGAGGAGAATCCCAGTCACACACAGAAATGAGGGGAATGAAGATTATGAGTGAGGTACTCGTGAGGAGCTTCACGGGACCATATCACGCAATTTTGCTTGCTGATTATGCCATCCACAGAAAAATTTGCTTCATCGCTCCATAAAATGTTGGGAACGATTTCTGCATTGTCCTGCAGCCAGATAGCGAACGTGACACGTTGCTCCTTGTCTTCTTCCGTGATGTTTTGCAATAAAGTGAAAAAAATGATACGGGTAGAGATGAAGGTGGCGTCTCATAATACGATTCACGCTGGCGCGGGGAATGCCGGTCAACTGAGACACCTGAGTTATTGACGAAGATGCTCTGGGACTAAAGTTGCTCGACGGCATTCTGTACAATGGGCGCTTTTTCATCACTCAGAGACTTTCTCCCTTTGCCAGGAACGTCCAATACAGTTCCAGTGGACTCAAATTTCGCAATCAAGCGTGTAATGGTCGACACGGTGAAAAGATCTTTGATGAGACCATGTTTGGTTTTGTAACCACGAAGTGCAGCAGTGGCGCTTTCACCAAGGGAATAATGGAGTTTCACAATTTCAATGCGCGTACTGACATTCATCGCAGATAGAAAAAATGCCAACACTTGCAAACAAAACAACCTTTATGTGGCTACTAATGATGAGAAAGTTCGTCATCGTTCTTCTGATTGGCTGCGTTTACTCACCCAATCAAATTTTGCGTCTATTATGAGAAACCATGTGCATACCAAACGCGAGAATGTTTTCGACTATGAACTGATGAGCGCGATCGAATGGCTGGGGTCCGTTTCTGTTCAGACTGCCTCAGTGCAAACACGGAGGGTATGGGCACTTGGTTCCATAACCAAGTACCGGGTCCTCATTCTGTGCACCCTTCTATTTCCGCGGATGACGATGATGATGATGAGGAGGATGACGATGATGATGACGAGGATTATGATGATGAAGGACGCTCACATGGTGAAAGACTGATCTTTGTTGGGTGTGGAAGGCACCGTTTCCGATGGTGCAACAGTAATGGGCAATGCCGTTGCCATTTCTTAAGGCAATTCGTTTTTTTCCCAATCATGTTCTTCTGTTGTGTAGGGCTGTTGAGTAAATAAGTGAACCAGGCCTCCTATTATTCACCCAGATCCACACTCCCGGTATGTGTACCAAATGAAAAACAACCAGTTTGAGCAACCCTTCCGCAGGAACAAGCCCTTCATTCGGCTCGGGTTCACGGAGGTCTCAGTCAGTCAGCGAGGCTTTGAGCTCACAAATCCTGCGAAGAAGTGCATTGGTTCCAGCTACCACAGCTGCTTTCATCGAGGAGGGAACGAGAGCCACGTGTTGGAGGCCATAGTCGAATCTGTGCACTGGCGACCAATGAATCTGCTCATTCATGGAATAATAGCTGTGACGCGACAACGCCATTCGCAACGTGACAAAACCATATCTGTCACGGTCATTGATTCGTCTTATCCCTATCCGACGTGACTGAGTTAACTAGGATCGGTTTTCACGTCATCAGCTGATTGCCCCTGGGTCGTGTGTATTCGATTCAGCGTCCACAGCCTGTCCTTCGTGGTTGGCATGAGACCCCCAGAGAAGCCTATATTTTTAAAAAGCAAGTCACCGTACATGTACCAAACCCCAACCTGGGCGGCGACCAGGGGACTGTGTTAGTTAGACCTCTATCCATCGGTATGAGACACTCTGTGAGTGTCACACGTACAGGTAGAGTGTACAACAAGAAGACTGAAGAACTAGTGGATCTGTAGAGGTGAACTAGCCATCATATCACGGTGAGGTCCGCTCTCTTCGTGATGGCAGCCTGCTGGTCCCTTCCTACCTACCCAACCATACTCCCACAGGTTCGCCGGTTTGGTCGGCCGGCACGCGCGTTGAGAAAGTTTTCAGCACTCAGTGGAGGTAGTTTGGTCGAAGTTTCCCATGCATTCGCAATGGGGGGGGGAAGGAAATCCACACTCCCGGTATGTGTACCAAATGAAAAACAACCAGTTTGAGCAACCCTTCCGCAGGAACAAGCCCTTCATTCGGCTCGGGTTCACGGAGGTCTCAGTCAGTCAGCGAGGCTTTGAGCTCACAAATCCTGCGAAGAAGTGCATTGGTTCCAGCTACCACAGCTGCTTTCATCGAGGAGGGAACGAGAGCCACGTGTTGGAGGCCATAGTCGAATCTGTGCACTGGCGACCAATGAATCTGCTCATTCATGGAATAATAGCTGTGACGCGACAACGCCATTCGCAACGTGACAAAACCATATCTGTCACGGTCATTGATTCGTCTTATCCCTATCCGACGCGACTGAGTTAACTAGGATCGGTTTTCACGTCATCAGCTGATTGCCCCTGGGTCGTGTGTATTCGATTCAGCGTCCACAGCCTGTCCTTCGTGGTTGGCATGAGACCCCCAGAGAAGCCTATATTTTTAAAAAGCAAGTCACCGTACATGTACCAAACCCCAACCTGGGCGGCGACCAGGGGACTGTGTTAGTTAGACCTCTATCCATCGGTATGAGACACTCTGTGAGTGTCACACGTACAGGTAGAGTGTACAACAAGAAGACTGAAGAACTAGTGGATCTGTAGAGGTGAACTAGCCATCATATCACGGTGAGGTCCGCTCTCTTCGTGATGGCAGCCTGCTGGTCCCTTCCTACCTACCCAACCATACTCCCACAGGTTCGCCGGTTTGGTCGGCCGGCACGCGCGTTGAGAAAGTTTTCAGCACTCAGTGGAGGTAGTTTGGTCGAAGTTTCCCATGCATTCGCAATGGGGGGGGGAAGGTGAAGGGTAAAGAAACCACCAACCAATTAGGTGATGCAGCTACTGTGGCTCACGAAATTGGATCAAAGGAACGGCGGTCTCGACAAAACCGAGGAGAGATCGGCGGGAGATCGCAAAAATAGGTGACCTACCTGTTCTCGTGAGAGGCGCATGTTCAAACCGAACGAGAAAACGGCTAGTGTGGGTATTTCGGCGGCGAAAGGTTGGAAGCGAACTTCAACAGATGGCTGCTCAGATTCATGAAGCGCAGCGCGGAATTCATCCTCTACAACCACTTCCACCTCCACGTTGAAATACTGAGTGAAATATGTTGGCGACGGGACAGAGGAGTTGCACAACCAAACTACAATCACCTGAGAAAAAGAATGAAAAACGAACGTGAAGCAGAGGTCAGTGGGAGACTCCAGCTGTAATACACGCAAGAAACGCACACATGGATTGGAACGACCTAGGTGAACACCACTTCAAAAGTAGACGATGTCGCCATGGGTGAGGATGCGATTAGGAACAATGCTTTATTCGGCTAGGAGGCAGTTCCAAGGGTTTTGGTGCCTAGCTTCCATGCCACGCAAATGAAGCACGAGGGCTGCCAGGTTGCCCAAGCTTAGATAGGAGCGGTTGAGATGCCTGGACCGGGTTCGAACCACGGACCCCAACCCTTTGGTGGCCTGGGAATCATACACAGGTTATCGCAGTTCAAGTCCGAACAAGCAGAAACGTAAACTGAGATTTCACCCGTGCTGGAAACCTGAAAATTACTGCTTCAGCCTCGTTGCGAGCCACCAGTAGTGCGTATCTGACGAACCTCACGGGGGGGTCTGAACCCAGGAACTCGACGATAGTACCTGAACAGAGCTCAATGACCACCGGTGCGAGCAACTAAAAATTGGACTGGATATAGCTCCACTATCCATCAGTCAAGCAAATTACACCAAGTGATCTTGCGGTGAGTGGCTTCTGGAGCAGTTATTTAATCAGCCTGTGAGATTTTTTTTGTTTCCGAGCGGATCACCTGTAGTTCTAATCCTCGCTCCTTCCGGTTCCTCTCAAGATGGATAAACACACGATGAAGAATTAGTGGCTGGCGAAAATTAGGCATACTGCTGCGACGGTGATACTACTGATGGGGGAGGCATGCGAGTAGTATGTTCCCTTCTTGTAAATCCACTTTGCGTCTCTTGGAAAGGGAGATCTGTTGCGGAATTTGTGGAATATTGCTTCTTATTTGCAATAAGTCGGCTTGATATCTCATACCTGCCTGCTAGGCTATAACGATATCCTGTTGGACGTAACACCTTCCGATCTGTTTGATTACGGCTCGGTAGCAATTACCTGGTTAATGTGGTATGTGGAGTGATTAGTTTTACGAGGAATCACACAAACACTAACCTGCATTGATCTTTCCCTCTTGAGCCTAAAAACACCCTTCTTGTGGTGTACGCTTTGCGCTCGTTCAGTTAGTGAACACGGATGATACTTGCTTATGATTGGACAAGTTCACTTTGGTAGATGCGGCGTTCCCTTCACCTAATTGGTTGGTTGCCTGGTGCGCTGAAAGATCTCAGCTTCACGGTACAAGTACATCCTAACTCCATTTTATCAGTATGAAGTATAATGATACATAGAGATCAAGGTTAAAGCTATAGTTATCCGCTTTGTACCGGTGTAACGGTGATACTACTGATGGAGGGGGCACGCGAGTAGCATGTTCTCTCGTACATCCACTTTGCGCCTCTTGAAAAGTGAGATCTATTAGGGAATTTGTGGAGTCGCTTGTAGCATTCGTTTGGATTTGAGCAACAGTCAATGAATATCCAGGAAAGTTCAGGGAGACGCGTTCAAGGGAAGATGGATGTTCAATTTTTGTAAACAAGATGCATATGAGAGTTTTGTTTCCCTGTCCAATGGTTTGTAACTGGTCAGTTGGAATCTTTTTAATAGATAACTCATTCCACTGCTAGTCAGCCACTTAGCCAGTAACCAGAAGATCCATGGTTCGAACCTAGCGTCAGCATCTCGGCCATTGTGCTTACTTCGGATGGCATGCCAGTTAGGCACCGAAAGGGTGAATTGTTATAACACAGAGTGACTCCAACTGCATGATGGAATCTTAACTGAGACCTTGGGATCTCCTCACACTGTCAAGTTACGTCTTGATGTGTGTGCGTGTGACAGTGAAACGGAATCGAAAGAACGGAGGGTTGAAGAAGAACTGAAACGGTCAGGAAAAGCCGCCACCAGGATGTTTTCAATGTTTCGAAGGTACTTCAGGAAGGGGCATATGTCAGCGTAAGCATGGTGTCTTAGATACCAAAACAAGCCCCTACGGGAAGTATCGGACAGGATAAAAAACACCATAATCAAAAAAGTGCACTGTGATAGGCGGAACCATAAGCCAGAAAAAAAACCGCCCTACCAGCCGCAATCAGGGGCTAAGACGACCAATAAACCTAGGTTGCACGGCATTGGTCAGAAGCTCGGGCCAATCCAGCATTGCGATAGGTTCTGTTGGGTCCGTATTGTTAACCAATCAGAGCTCACCTTGATGCTGGACCGGCAAGCGGTCCGATCCTCTGGCCATTAACCAATCGAGCTCACCTTGATGCTGGACCGGCAAGGCGGTCCGATCTCTGGCCAATCAGGCGCGGGCCGTTCCAGCGCCTAATCATGGACGGTAAGGCGGTTTTCGCGTAGGATTCCGCCTAACACACTGGGAGACAGAGGACGCTGCCTCGTCAACTATCGGTATAAAGTGCCCTGTGAGAGGTTCTCCTTGATTATGTTCGTTAAGCGTGTGAGGAAACAAGGCAGTGACAACAGGAAGACAGCGAATTCTATTTAAGTACCAAACGGAACTCGATTGTAAAACCAAAGAATGTGCCATTACGTCTAACCGATTCGGTCCAACAAATCTCGGATGGAATACATAAGAAAAAGACTCACCCACCTTTCGGAGAGATTCCGAGGTGAACGTCGAAGATGCAAACGTACTCAGACGTTCGGGATAAATGTGACACAATGTCTTGGAGATTGGAAGCAACATGGAGAAACCAGCGGTCACAAGAGCTGTGAGGTACATGAGGGGAGGGGACATAGGTTTACGATAGACAACCATCAATAATGGCTCTGGAAAGCAAACAAGATAAGGTGACATCTGAACTGAATGCCGAGGAGGTGTATGATCGTTCAGCTGTAGCGCCCTTTCGGTGCCTAGCTGCCGTGCCTGACGAAGGAGGCACGAGGGCTGGGATACTGCCAGGTCGCCCAAGCCTAGACAGGGGAAGTCGAGAGGCGGAGGTCGGATTCGAACCATGGACCTCTCGTTCCATTCCATTCTCGTTCTAACCACTTGGTCCAACTGCTGAGGAGAGAAGAACAGTGAAATCGTTATTTATGTAAGCGTCGCGAAGAGACTGGACCTAACCGTGGTGTCGCAGTTTGTGTACCTCGGCGACCCGCGACACTCACAGAGTCTCTCATACCAGGTTTGTCAATGGTTAGAGGTCTGACGACCAGTCTCCTGGCCCTCTAGGTCGGGGGTTGGAACACGCCTGGCGACTTGTTCCGTAGAAATGGTAATGCATTTGCATTTCTCGCCAAACACCGCTGCCTTGCGGCTAGGCTTTTGATTCAAAGGCTTCGGTTGAGGACCCTGTCTAGGTGTGAGCTCTCTGGCAGTACCGCAGCCCTCGTACAACTGTGACATTTACAGATAACTACGGTAGTGAAGCATCAGTGTCAACACTGATGTTGCGGTTTTTGATGATAATGGTGTTGATATCCAACACTATCACTTCACTACGATTACTGAGCAATTGGGATTTTACTTGGGATGCTGACAAAGTGGAGTAGGAAACGTTCTTCCGAGCCTTGGTTCTTCGATTGTTCCCATCATGGTTGTGGCACCCTGACAGTGTCTCAGAAAGAAAAAAGAAAGCGTTCAGCTGTAGCACCCTTCCGGTGCCTAGCTGCCACGCCACTCGAAGGAAGCACGAGGGCTGGGGTACTGCCAGGTTGCCCAAGCCTAAACAGGGAAATTCGAGAGGCGGAGGTCGGATTCGAACCACGGACCTTCCGGTCAGTATATTCGCGCTCTAACCACTTGGGCCATCTCGCCCCCGACAGTGTCTCAGCCCCCATATCTCCCATCGTCAGCTACATAGACACAACACCTATGGTCCCAAGTACCAATTCACTTCCGCCCATGACTTGAACAACGTCATAATTGGACACAACCTGGATTTCGGATAACTAAAACGACAATTTCGACCTCAACACACGCTCCGAACACAAGGATAGCAAAGGTGTGTCGTGCTGACATGCCTTGGCCAGTCAGGTTTCTGTGTTGATCAGGAATTAAAACGGAGAAACTAGGCAATACGTTTGTAAAAAGTGACACGCAGACATAGGATGCTCTTATTTGAGTTCACCACATGTATAATGAATAATGCTAGTGACCCGTTGATTCTACTCATCATTTGTGAGTACTATCTTCGCACCACTTGGAATACTGTCTTCTGAGTCAGAACAAACTTGGAGGGTGTCCGGAGGCCATCCGTCCCTAATAATCGAACACCACATCATTTGGACGGATGTGCCATGTGCAGGACACGGGCCAAACGAAGGTATGCCCTGATTGGCCAGAATGCCAGCCAATCCGAGTCAAGCGCCTGTGACTCGACGCTTCTTGTCCCCTCAGGGAGATTCTAGCACGACCTTGTGGAACACTCTGTGACTACCCTATAAATACAGTTGTAATAATTTTCCTTTGTCTGCACAAAGGGCTGTCTGGAGCTGCCGTGCTTCTTGATATACCATAGTGAGCGGAGCAAGAAGCCAGGGGATCGATACAGAGTTGCACTACCGTACATCAAGTTACAACAACTCTACTGATAGTTTGCGAGCACGAGACAGGCTGAGAACCACTGTGGTAAAACGAGGAACCCGGTAGTTGAAAAAACGAGTACAATACAGAAAAAAGGAGCTCACGCTGGCAGTGCTCCGGAAGGTGCGCCAACGGCACATCGCATTCATCGAAAGAGTACTTCTGAGAGAGGACCAAGCCACCAGGAGGGGAATTCCATATGGTGTAGCTACGACGCCTCATCGCTAGCCGATCACGTATGATCTGAAACGAAAGGAAGGTAGCCAATTTGGGGCTGGATTGTGAAGTTAACAGTCGCCTAAACAAAAAGACAAACTTAGAGAACAATGGAAAGGCTCACCTGGAGAATACCGCCAAGGTGAAAGGCGGTACTTCAAGCTTTCCTGAGAGTAGGCAGAGAGCAGCGTTATAGGCTCTTCATTATGGGGAGATCACACACTAGATTATAGCTGACGGCGACGGCTGTTTGTAGGCCCTTCATGGAAGTGAACTCAATTCGACGGGGGAGGGGTGTCACATGTGGAGTCGTGGCTGAAGGAAACACCTCTGTAAGCCCTCCAACGAAGGTTTGGGAGAAAGAACTACTAACTTACGCAGAGAAAATCAATGCCATGTCCCCTGGGACAAACAATGAGCCAATACGGCGAGTCTGAGGTTGTGTAAGTGGCTGCGTAGTATGGAAGTGAAACGTAAAACCCGTTTCCTCAACTTGCCTTCGGCATGTTTATCTGCCTATCTCAGTCTCGTGGCAGGAACTCCGATGCCCAGTTCAGAGTGGCGCAAACAGAGAGGGGGCCAAGCCTTGACTTGGCAGAAGAGTATGAAGGAGATCACGAAACGCTTGGGTGCTGTCGGTGCTACTCGCCTTCCAGGATGGGGACCGCGTGATGCTCACTGTGCCTGGTTGGAGACACTACAATATATGGCTGCTAACCGATGTCAGTGACGTTCCTGCTGTCAGTTTCTACCCAGATTGCTTGAGTGAGTGTCTGGAGGTGTAGGCACCTCGGAATGACTGTGGTAAGCTAGCACTAAGTACCTCTCTAGTCCACCTTTCTTCTTTTCTTTACAATAAGGCTTTCAATAAATTATGGTTATACAGCAGTGAAGCATCGGGGTTGAACATTGATGTCATGCTGTCAATGATGATGATGATGGCAGGAACTGCTGAGATGCGTGAGAAGTTAGATACATTCGATTAAAATATCTATAGTATTCATGAGCCAACATGAAGGGGTTCAAAGGTGCAAAAAATCCATCCAATCAAATCGGGAGACCTACCTCCAACGTGGTGAATACGATCGACTCGACAGACTGAAAATAAGTGGAGTACAAGAAGGTGATCTGCTGCCTCAATTGCACGATTCGATAGTCCGGTATGCGACGCAACATAAGAGACAAAGTGAGCGGTAGGTGCTCATCCGCCCAAATGACAGCTTTTGACCAATCGATGACCTCGGAAAACGGGAGTTCCCAATCGTTGCTGAGCATTACCGGAATGCAGGAGGCTTCCAAAGCTTCCAGAAATCTAAAGACGCGGTAGGATGGATTGGTTCCGTGACATTTGATCGAGAGAGAAAAAACACAGAAGACAGTCCAAGGTTACAAAACGGATGTCGGCGTTATTGAGCTAGTAACTAACACTCCCAAGAGGAGCGCTCATTACGGAGGGACGTGATTCCGAGCTTTTCGTGAGAGCAACCTCAATTCGGGGGAGGGAGGTTTGCCAAGCGAATGATTGTAGCTGTTGGCAGAAACAGTGAAGCCCGAGATAATTCAATGGTCAAGGTGCGAACCTATTGAGCAGAGGATACCGGTTCGAACCCGACTCCGGCACTTCAACTGCTCCTTTCTGGGCTTGGGCAACCTGAGAGTAGTTCAGCCCTCAAGCTTCCTTCGGGTGGGATGGCAGCTAAGGTGTGACAGCTTAAGCGTGCATAAATCAGTCAAACCGCCTCGGATAGAATTACTATGATCTGCCTCAGAAATGTTGGATGTTGCCTCAAAGAAAACTTTGCGTCGCACGATAGATTTGACGGCGTGGTTTTCACTTGTCTCCTGTCTGGCTCCCCTCAGAAAGAGTGATGGCAATTCGCTAGTGACAGGAACCTTCAGAATCCCGCAGACGTTTATCAAGCCTAGTGGTAGAAACAACATAGATCGTCAGCATCTGTCGAGGTATAGTGTTAGGCGAAATCCTGCGCGAAAACGACCTCAGCGCTCGGAATTATGCGCTGCAACGGCCAATAGGCCCAACCCGCACGTGATTGGCCGGCATCAAGACGAGTTCTGATTGGTCGAAAATGCGGACCTAACAGGTTCCTTTAATGTCGCGTCCGGAAGCCGTTCGAATATCCAGAATTTTTCTTTTACTGAAAGCGCTTTGGAGAAGGAGACAAAGAACTTAGCTCCGGCATTGCAGTTATTGCACTTAGTTAATGCCAAAATGAAATTACCAAAACCCACACTTTGAAGTATAGCCTTTATTCAGCCTTGCATCTGCAAAACAGACTCCAAGCAGTCCAAACGCTTTCCGTAAGCAGTATCTTAGTCAGAATTACGTTGTTACGCCGGAGGGCAATTTTAAAACTGGCTCTTACCTGTTGAGAAAAACATTGAACAACTTGGCCCTCAAGTGGTCTACAGGATCAAGCAATCGAACAGACACCGCACATTGATACCGTTCGCGACTCATTGGCAACAGCGATTCGGGATAGTCTCGAAGCTGACTTGTTCACCGTAAAGTAAGTAGTTGGTAGAATTTAGAAGGGCACCCTTGGTAGATTGTGGCCAAGAGGATGTACGCGAAAGCCCTTTCTTGACCCGAAAGCCTGCGCATTCGTATTTCGGCCTCCTTAGCATGCTAGGCATCCTTAAATAAAAACGATCAGTAGAGTTGTTGTGACTTGATGTACGGTAGTGCAACTCTGTATCGATCCCCTGGCTTCTTGCTCCGCTCACTATGGTATATCAAAAGCCACGGTAGCTCTACACAGCCATTAATGGAGACAAAGGAAAGTCATTACACAGAACGTTCCACAAGGTCGTGCTATAGTCTCCGTGAGGGGGCGAGGAGCACCGAGCCAAAGATGCTCGATCCGTATTGGCTGGCATTCTGACCAATCAGAGCATGCCTTCGTTTGATCGGTGTCCTGCACGTGACACATCCGTCCAAATGACAGGATGTTCGTTTATTAGGGGCGGCTGGCTTCCAGACAAGAGCAAGCCTGCTCTACTGCAAAACAGCCTTTAAATGCTGAACGACGAGCAAGCCAACAGGCTGAAGCTGCTGCAGTGGGAGAGATGAAGTTTGGATGGATACGGTTCATCGCTCAGCAGCTCTTGTATGGTAATAAAGCGTTTTCATTACCTACGTTAAGATTGACTCTTTCGAAAATTGTCAGAGTTTCCAGGGCGGTTCGAATGACCAGCGCTCATCCAGTAAGCCAGTCTCCACAGGGTCAATACCCGAACACTCCACCCCTACAGCTCAATATTTTTTTGCATAAAGAATGCGCCGCATCAAGGCGGAACCCAGTGTATTGTCAAGGTGGAACCACCCAAAGATGGGGGAAAATCTAGTCAGGTCATATGTACGAGAGGACCAGCGCTGTATCAACAAACCTAGTCGGACTGAGGTCTATCAACGAATTTGGAAACATCGACTTTTGAAATATGAAGCTTGATTAATATCGCTAACTTACCGATACGAACCCAGCCGACGTCCACGAGGGACGAGGCAGAAGGTGGAATTATGCATCAATTCGTTGTAGTCATACCTGCGAGGAAAGACAGAGAGAAAAATGATTCCCAGAAAGGAATTTATGTGAAAACATGAAAACAAACAGTGTGGGGTCTAGGTAAGCCGTCGCGAAGTACACTCAGGTTCAAACTAGTTTGGTTTTAACGGGAGAGTCAACTGAACGCACTACTTATGAGGTTGCTGAAAACTCTTCGGAAATCCACTGCCAGTTTCATAGTACGGCAGTGAATCATCGGTGTTGAACACTCACTGATGTCTGTTGTCGATGATGATGATGATGATGATGCCAGTTTCATATCATAGAGATTTGCACTGAGGTAGAACATATTGTTGACGAAAACTCGGGGAAGCAAAAAGGGTGAATAGGCTTCAGTAACTTCTTGGGTGGTTTTTCGTCAAATATAAACTGTTCATTTCCTAGGAGTACCAATGGCTGTACATATTCGGACCCAGTGAGATCCAAGCCCACGACTGTGTTGGATATACCTTCGCCTTGACAATCCTACACAGAGAAGGTAATCAAAGACTACTCACAAGATGGCTGAAAGCTCCTCGACAGCCCACTACCGGTTTCGCCCAAGTTGGACCGTTTTCGACAAATGCACTCATTTACAAATCGATTCTGCTTTCACGAGAGACTCATCTGAATCTCTCGGTTATGACGTTCAACAACTTAATGTGCTGCACACGGGCCGCCACAAGAAGGGCGAAACAGGTCGTGGACTGTCGAAGAGGTTTCAGCAATTTTGTGAGTAGTTTCCTCTATGAAAATATACTGCGATATATCGAATATCGTGCCAACTGAATCACGAGGCGGCCTGTGTGCAGCCTATTCAGTTGTAGAACGTCATAAAAAAGAGATTCAGTCGAGTCTCTCGTGAAAACCGAATTGATTTGCAAATGAGTGTATTTCTCGCAATCAAAGACTCTTGAGAAAACCGTCTGAATGTGTAATCTGGCAATTAATGAAGTGATCATCCCACGCGAGGGTTTGGGGGCCTGACCGATAAATCTACTGACGGACGTCACATGGCACATCTAACAAAGGATTAGAGCCACTCCAGCACAAGAGAAATATTCTGCGAAAAAATGCTTGTCCTACGTGCATCCACATTTCTAACTACTTCCACCATCTGTAAGTAGTGAGGATAATTGCCGATTTTCGCGCGTCGCCCAGGACGGGCTAAGACGAAACCTCATGTCTCAGAGAGTCGCTAAAAAGGGGTAATACAAGTCTTTCTGACGTACGCACCCGATTCACCACAAGATGAGTGTGACGGGGAGCGACTGACAGTGTGCATCCAAATACGACCGTAGGCTGATTGCCTAAATGAAGCCGATGGACTGGCTGTTTAGCGGTTTAGCTATCAAGCATTGAAAAAAAAACATTCAACATACTGATCATAAATGGTCATGTCCACGGGGCACCGCTTATCCGCATATCTTATCCAGTCCGTTCCGTGACGACAAGTAGTCACCATGATCACGTCATCTCCGTTGTGAAGATGGAATAGCGTGTTGCGCGATGCAGACCCAATGCCGCTCACATAGCGTTTGCCCTAGAACAGAGGCACAAGCAGTCGGGAAGGCTATAAAACCGTACAAACAGATTGAAACGGCTCCAAAACGCTCAAAACTGGGGGTAGGACTGACTCACTTTGAAACTGAGCAGAATGGGTCGACGAACTTTGGTCCTCTGGTGTACGGTGTGGTACGAGGCATCATGCCCACTCGCCTCCAAACTGATCTTCTCCGGATGTTGTGGGTGAATCAGCGGCAAGGAGATGTCGAAGGTATGACGAATTTTGGTCGTTGAAAAGCTGGCTTTGGCCAGGATTGCCTGGCCCAGGGACAAGCGGTATTCATCTTCATGATAGCCTGGCCAAGTGCCAGCGTACAAATTGAATATGAGGTGATTGCGACCAGGGGTCACTGTTTTTCGTTGAGCTAACCGGAAACGTGGGTGCGGCAAATCGTATTGATTGGAGCAATATGGCACAAACCGAAGGGTTAAAATGAAAGCACCCCCCGCGCTTTAAGAGCTTGTAAGAGATGGCTCGAAAATTTCACCGGGAATCCAGAAAATAAAATTAGCTTGGCATGGAGGTCTTTCCTGCAAAATTGAAGCTGCTCTGCAAAGCAAAGCCGTTTCAATCCTTGCAAAAGGACAACGCGTTTTCAGCCTCCTCGATTCTTGATCAAAGAATATAGTTTAATTGGGCGAAGATTCTATCAGTCGCACAAGATATCCAGCTAATTTGCCTAAGTCCCGTCACTACAAGAGAGGCGTCACCTCGACTCTAGCGTATTCACCGGCCTTGGCTGATACCAAATGAGGTCAAACAGAACTTCGCAAAGTTATTCACTGTCTACGAAGCCTCTAAATGATAAAACACCCAAAATCAACAATACTACCTCCCAATCGGATGGATGTTTTTACGGATTTATCAACTTGAGATAGATCAGCGATCGACGCGCATAACTATTGGCCGGAAGGTCTGTGATTCGAACGAAACTCGGACTTATTGGTTGCTCCTATATAGTCTTGAGCAACCTGTTAGTACCTCGTTCAAGTTCCATGGAAGCTATGCACCGAAAGGGTGGGACAACTGTTAATAAGTAGACAAGGAGCTCACCGGGCCATCATCATAACTAGGGCAGGACCGCCGGTCGAAACCTTCGTGGCAGAGTCTGTGAATGACAGTAATCAGTCATAGAATGTGGAAAGATAAAACGACACAGTATGGATGACTTACGGTCATCGGCCTCGACTTCTATTTGTTCCGCTGTCTTCAGGCGAGGCAACTCATTCCAGTAGGGAAGTCGGTTCAGCTGTTGATCGGTCTGTACGCCGAAACCCGGGCTCAGCGGATCACGATCCAATGTGTCCAGACTGGGGATGAAGATACAGGCTTCGTAGGGGTTGGTAGTCAAAAAGCGGTAGCGCCTCAGAGCGGCTAGGATCTTACCGTAGGTTGAGGAGACGGGGGGTTGACCCGGCGGAGCTGAGTACACGTACACCTGTCCGCAAAAGCGACCAATTTCGTTTAATCAAGCGATAGTACAGGCAGGACGATGCACGCCACACAAAGCCTTGTGCATTGAAGCAAACAACCGATATATTTGAAATGAACCCTTCCGATTCGACTGCTACCAGCTTCCCACATGTAGAAGGGGAGACGGGTAGGCGGACTGCCGTTCAAGTGTTTGCCTTTGACCTTGAGGTGGTATAACCATCCAATTCGACCTAACGGGTTCGATTCCATCCATCTAGTTGTGTTGACGTGTTCAAGTTGATGGCTCAAGTGGTTAGAGCGCGCGAACTTACTGACCGGAGGAAGGTCCGTGGTTCGAACCCGCCTCTCGACTTCCCTCTGTTTGGACTTGGGCAACCTGGTAGTATCCCAACCCTCGTGCTTCCTTCAGGTAGCATGGCAGCTAGACATCGGAAGGGTGTTACAGCTGGATGATTATTATTATTTTATCCACCCCCTTCTGGATGGATTTCGGAATGTGGCTATTGCGAGCCTCTTAAAATAGTATTGCAGCGGAGCTACACTCATGTACGCCTGATGGCCGGTCATTTATAGAGATCCGTATTTTTCGTAGGGGATGGAAATCAACAGAAGACGGAAGAAAGAACACTGCAGGAAGAACCCGAGGCATCCAACTCGTCATGTGAGCATCTGGTTTGCAAAAGAGCAGTTTTCGGCTGCCCCATGTCGGGCAGAGAGTGGTTCAATTCGTAATCTGGCTGATTAGAGTAAAGCGAACCGACCATACTGGCTGATGATTGCCATCCACAACTTGGTAAGGTACGCTGGAGACCTGGGTCTGCTTGAACCACCAACCCACCGCTACGCACTTCTACGCTCCACAATAACGTACTGATGATGTCACCTCGATTGGTGATGAAACGTTTGCAATCAAATTGCCCAGCTCAGCGAACAAGCCAACGACCACCATCTACGCTACCTGAGCTACCAACATTTTCCTCTATAGAAAATTGAGCTTTCGCTTAAATCGACGAAGAAAACAGTGTCATCTCTAGAGGGAGAAGATATTCGACAGAAAGTGAAACAGTTTTCACACTGCAACTAGCTGATATGATGACTCGTTCTATGCCAGCGAACTGCATTCAGACTGCTTGACAGTCTGAAGAGGCAGTCTCAGAGGCGACCGCGGGGAAAATAAACAATCGTCAAACGAGATGACAGTTAAGATTGGTTCTGTACGCGCTCCCCCTCTTTAGTTGGGGTACCGTCGTACTGTTGGAATATACACCATTTGTTTTGCGCACATAAAAATGCCCATTCCTTGGATTACTGCTTGCAGTGATCCTTGGACCACCTGTGAGAAAGAAACTGGAAGATGTGGGCTTTGTCGTGATGCCCTGCAAACCGAGCTGAAATATAGCGCCCATTCTAGAGAACGACTCACTCTCCGTCGAAAGCGATGCCTTCCACGACATGACCATATGACTATGCAGTTCAACGCAATATATGAGTTATTTTTTCTCTTGAAAATGATCGAATACACTTGTTTTTTCGTGGTCGATTTTGGACGAAGGAGGCGAGCATAGCGCGTCTAGTTTCCAAAAAATTGGCTCCACAAGGAGGAATATGAGTTATAGAGCAAACACCTTTTGTAAAGCAGTAAATTGATGGTTTCAGATCTTTCCAACGCGAAAAAAGGGCAGTATTGCGGAAAACATGGATCTCCAGTCATCAGCGATAGGCCCAGGGAAATACCTTGCAAAGGAGCACATACGAAGTCGTCCTTACAAACAAAAAAAGGAGGAATGAGGGCTGGGATACTTCCAGGTTGCCAAAGCCTAGACAGGGGAAGTCGAGGCAGAGGTCGAGTTCGAACCACGGACCTTCCGGAATACTTGGGCCGTTTCGCCCTTATAAAACATGACGTTCTTTCAACCCATGGTCACCACGTAACCCAAAAAAACACAACAGCCGATTCAACAGCTACTTTTAGATGGAAACGATCAAGGCAAAGTCGTCCGCTCGACCTACGTGCGTGGTTCGAGCGCTGCAGTATGGAAAAGATAACCCGGTTGCATCTGCTCACTTGACAGTGATGCATCGAAAGGGTGCCACGGATGCACGTTTAATGAACGGCAGTGTTAAAATTTAGACTATTTTGGGATGAGCAGAGAAGCGAAAGATATCTGAGAAGCAAGCACTCACCTTGAAATCGCTTGCGCAGCGAGCATAGTCAAAACAGGTCTCCATTGTGCATGGTAATGAATCAGATAGGTACTGGGCTTCATCACCCATTGCCGCTGAAGGGCCGTAGCTCTGATTTACCAGCATCACCCAGTCATTCAGGCTGAGAAACGAATGTCCTGCTTCAGAACTATCGGAGCTGACCGCTTGTCTAGGAGAGCCCGTCAAGAGGATAAAATCGTAGTGGGCGAATAGATAAAAACACAAAGTGATTATGTTTGATAGTAAAATCGAAGTGCAGATGGAGGTGGCGAGTAGAAGGGCCCATTGGTAACTGTTCCTGAGCATTCGAACTGAGGGTCTGAAAAAGTAAATTGATGATAATGATGCGTCACTGCTGCACAACCATAAAATTCAAGCTGATTATATTTAGAGCCTCGCTGCCATGCCAACGGAAGGAGGCACGAGGACTGGCATACTTCCAGGCTGCCTAAGCCTAGACGGGGGCAGGCGAAAAACAAAGGTCGGGTTAGAACCACGGGCCTTCAGCTCTGTAAGTTGACGCCCTAACCACTGAGCCATCTCAAGCTCCGGGTGAGGGAGAGGACTGAGTGCTGGCCTATCACAAGCATCCTGAGGTACGTACATCTCTAAGCGCTGAGACAACTTGGAAAGAAATTGACACCATGAACGCCGCTGACATCGACCAGTCGCCGTTTCTTGCAGAGGGTGGGTCACGTGGACCCCACTCTGGAGAACGAACTGTACCAACACCTAAACTCGTCGTCACTCCACAATTCTACCAGGTCATACGTTGTCCACCTCGCGCTTCACGCCATTATGAGGGAAGCACGTAAAACAATCGCCACTTTGCATGAGTGCACATGACCGAGCCGGCGCAGTTTGTGGTGCTGGATGTTTTTCGCCACACAACCAGATACCCATTTTCTAATAACCACGTTGGTGCCCTCTGACACCAGCAACGCTTCTGAGGCACCGACGGTTAAAAACCGGAAGATACTTCACATCGTCTGTCCTCGGAAGCCATGTTTCGAAACGATACAACAATACATCCCTTACTGTAGCCTGGTGCATGGGACCCTTGAGACCCACAAGTGAAGCAAATTAGCGAGCACGATTCTGGCCTTTGAGATCCATGAAGTGACTTCATCATACACGTTTCCGTCAGACCTAATACAATTACCAGGACGAGAAGACCCAGTAGTTATAGCGCAAATTTACTGACCGGAAGGTCCGTGGTTCGAAACAACCTCTGCATCTCGACATCTGTCTGGGATCAGCAGGCAACATCTCAGCCCACGTGCTTTCGTCAAGTGGCATTGTAGCTTGGCACCGGGATGGTATCACAACTGAACGATTTATTATTTTTATTAAATATTAGGACGATGTCGTCTGCGTACTATGAATCAACAAGGTTCTTACCAGCAACGATTCGAAAATCGTGGTTTTGGAGGCATCCCAGCATTCGCATCGATACTTCACCGAAGACAAAGTTGAAAAAGAACGGCAAGTGGACATCTTTGTCGGATCTTTGCCGACTGCTACCTTGACAGGGTGGTTGGGCTTGAGTGCTGCAATGATCCCACGGGTTACATTGGCTGGAACGTCGTTCCACAAGGTGCAACCATGCTAGAAACGCCAAAGGGGAGTAGTCAGACCAAGAGAAGCGAGACCTAGTACTACTAAGCACTACTACGAGTGATCGTGCTGCGAGGAGCTCTGAGGGTTAAGTCGTACTGTCCTCTGCGACAGGAGTGTGGAGGCAGTAAAGTGTTTCCCCCAGGCGACCAGCATGTCCATATTTATGGAGGCAGCGATGTTGCCTTCCCCTGAGGAAGGACGGGTTAGAAAAGGTTGGCCCTCAAAAACCGCAAATTCCGATCGCTTAACGGTTGACCATGACCACCGGCGCATTATCCAATAGGGTCTAAATACTTTTAAAACCAGAGCCCGGTACTGCTCAGAAGGCACCTGCTGTGTGCAGCTGCATCAGTAATGAGACAGTAATGCCTTATTCCCTGCGACCTCGTGTAAGGCCGACCCCTTGTAGCCCAGCAGGTCAGACTGTTGAGTCACCGGCTCCGGGAAGGGTCCTCAAAGAAAACCCTACTGTCCGCTGCCTCGTGGGTCAGACTTTTGAATCAGAGGCTCAAGGTGGGGTACCTCAACGAACCCCCCTTCTCGGCCTTGGCAACCGGGAAGTAACACTCGCCCAAGCAGTTCAGTGTCCACCGATGTCCCTCCCTAACCCCTTCCCACCGCACAGTTTAGTTCTCTGTCGGACACCAGATTTGTAGGGAAATTTTCTGAGAGCTCATAATATGCTCTCACACCCAAATGTGATGAAGAAAGGTAATCCTTGGGTTGTAGCACCCTTTCGCTGCCTAGCGGTTATGCCACCCGAAAGAAGCACGAGGGATGGGATACTTCTAAGTTGCTCAAATCTAGGCAGGGGAAGTCGACAGGCAGAGGTTGGGTTCAAACCACGGACCTTCTGGTCAGTAAATTCGCGCTCTAACCACTGGGGACCGGATTATGTTTTCGAACTCTTAGATTACACTCAGTTGGGCCTCTCGTGAAGACCAAGTTGGTATGCAGGCGAGTATACTTATCGAGATGCTATGTACTATCTTCTCGCAGTAGAGGGGTTTCCATCAACGTAAAAGGACGAAAGCGCGTACCAGGGGCTATAGTCTAGTTGACGGTCCCGCAGTGCTCGTCTATGAGAGCTGACTTGACTCAAAATACGAAACAATAGATAAGAGGTGGACTGGGAACATGAAATTGGCTTTGAAATCTAATGACCGTGACAGTGTGCTGACAGGTATTTGGTCGATGGGTCTTACACCGCCGCCTATTAACAGTAAACAAAATACCACCTTGCTAAGTCCACGTGATCCTTTCTACATAGGAGCGTCTGTACTCAATGCCAAATTGGCAAAAAGGCAACGCCAGCTGAAACCCTATACTCCTTTAAAATTGATGTATGTCGGGTCTCCGAAACAAGCATTGAAGACCCAAGCATCGTTATGTATCTCAAAATGCCAAGGACAAAATGAGTTCTTTCACATTTCTCCCTCCATGTGTCCAGTGATCCAGAATCAATGACTCGTGAAACATAAGGTTTTGGAGTTGCGCTCAGGCACACAGCTAAATGCGCTTTGCTTGATGGGGTCCCACTGAACACTCGCCTTTGCGCCGTCCGGTTGTGCAGCTCAATGAAACTTAATACCTCTTGACATAAAAAAAACGTTGCATGCTTGTATTGTCGGCTTATGCTCTAACGGAAAGCAGTTCTGAAGCTGAGAAGGATACTTTCCATCAAGAGTTATCCGGGTTCTTCATCGAGCAAGAAACACCGGGATCGTTATCTTTGCAGGTGATACGAATGCCTAAGTCGGTTGTCTGAGTTCCTTGGAATCACATCTGGGCGGTCGATTCAGAGTCAGTACTCATCGCACAGACAGCGGAGTGCGTCTCCCACAGTTATGTGCTGATCATCAACTGTTTCCGGCCAGAATAAACGTTCGCATCGCGTCACCCGGCGACCACCACCTTCAGAACAACCGTGGATCAAATTGGTCACGTGTCCATCAGCCACCCGTGGGGGACCACGATTGAAGATTACCGTTCCTTCTGAGGGCACACAACTTGATTCCGGTCAGGCCATGGTGCGTGCACGTCCTACAGTTTGTTTACCTTCAGGCCCTCGCAGGTCAAATCAGCAAGACGCACGCCAATCCACTGTCTTCGAAGAACTACGACAGCTCAGTGTTGAACTGAGCTAGCTCAACTACTCTCAACAGTAAACCAATACTGTAATGGTAGTGAACAGGAAGATGAAGGATGGCAGAATGTGAAAGGAGCTATGCTAACAGCGCTAAGTGCTGTCTGTCCAACCTCTTCGATACAATCACGAGATCATTCGATATCGTCGAGAACACTAGTCCTCACTGATGCCAGGAAATCCGTAGCAACAGACGAGTACGACGGCGCACGCAAATGTCTCTAACGCGAAATAATGAACGGCCTACAGAGAGCCAGAGAGCTCTGGTGAAAATCGAAAACTTAGGAGATGAAGAAGGCTTTTGCTACCGGAAACAGCCGTGCCCTATATAAACTGCAACGATCGACAAGCCCTAGAAAAGCAAGGGTCATTGAAACGATAAATGAAAAAGATGGCTCATTAGTTCATTAGCGAAAACATTGACTGGAAAGATGGGCCGAACTCAAGGAACAGTTCAGCTGACCTTCTGCAACACAGTCCCTGGAGATAGTGCATAGGGGTGAATGGATTGTAAACCTTAATCGCCCGTCAGAAGAAGTACGAAACATCCGTACTGAAACATGAAAAGGCACCAGAACCGGGCAGTCTACATACACCCCTACTATAGAAGGCGGGAGTCTCTGGTGACCCGTCTACCAAAGCCCATTGGTGCGATATGGAGCGAAGAGAAAGTGCTACAGAATGGGCATGTCGACAGGTATTTCTACATTCAAAGAGAGTACGAGGACAGTGTGCGAAAACCACCGGAACTATAGTGTCTTTAACCAGTCCCCTTTAAAGAAGGCGGAAAACCTCTGGTGACCCATTTGACAAAGCTTACTGGTACCACATGGAACGAAGAGAAGGTGCCTGCAGGATGGGGCATGTCGATCGTTATCCCTCTCTTCAATTTCGTCTCATTATCTCATCGATTATGAGGCTGAGTAGAAATGGGCATAGTGGGCATCCTTGTCGGATGATACATTGTATACGGAGGTTTCCGAGGAGATCCCAGAGATAACTCAGGCGCGAACTCGCTGATCGGAAGGTCCGTGGTTTGGACCCGATCCCGGCGTCGCGACTGCTCCTACCCAGACTAAGGCGCCCTGGCGGCATCTCAGCCTTCTGTTTCCTCCGAGTGGCACGGCAGCTAGGCATCGAAAGGGTGTTGCGGCTGAAGGATATCTATATTTTGTTTGGGGATCTCCTTTTCCGGATGGAATCAAACAAATCAGTCATGCGCTGACAAAGAACTTGAACCGCATCCTCGAGCAATGCGGGCTGGTAGTCGTCCGAACCAAAAACTAGGTGACACTTGAGAGAACAAATGCGGCCATAAACCTTCGAGGGTAGAAAGAGTTCGGAGTCCACCGTCCACGCTTTTAGTGCAGTTCGACAATCCGGCTGTGTAGCAGCCGGAGAATTATTGTTCAAAGTGCTCGGCCGCACGATCAGGGCGTATTTCTTCATTTAAGAAGTCTGATCACCAGCGGATTCTGGGGAGCAGTTCAAAACAACTAACCAAAATGGTCTTCGGACACTCCTAGCATTCTTCGACTCTTCCATTTTCTTAATTCTCCGAGTCGACCAGGATTCATGGTCGGCATGCATACCGAGTTTCATTTTGTTTCTGGTAATTCATCAGGCTACACCACGCTCGAGAGTTTCGGGAACATTTCTCCGAGATCCAATCAGTGCCACTGCTGTATATGAGGTGGCCTGCTAGCTCCGTGCCGCAGGCGGAAATCAAGGCAGTATCCAAGGATGTGGCGATATCGTTTCAGTAAGAATCGACAACCGACGATGAAGCTCTAGAACACAGTTTTAGCGAATTCATCTGGGTGTCTCACGGATTCACGGATTGATACACAGGATCGAGGCTTCTGACCAAGTTTTCCGGGTCGGTTTTATTCTTGTCGGTCAGTGGCTGTCGTTCACCTAAAAGGTACAAGTGAAAAAAGAGTGTAACACTGCTCTTCATGTTCTCAGCGCGGGGCAGTATGTTCGCCAGGGCGAAGATTCGCATAAATAAATGTCTCTTAGTGCTTTAAACTGGGTTCTAGAAGGAGCGTGGACAACCGTCGGAGGAAGGTCATTCCACGCAGCTACTACCCGAAATGAAAAAAAA